ACTGCCCCCCCGCAGACGCGCCGCCCCCCACACCCATCCCACACACCCACCCCCCCACCCCCACCCACACCCACACCCACACCCACACCCACACCCACACCCACACCACCCACATCCGCACCCCCCTGACCCATCGAAACGAATAACAACAGCATATATGACCAAATATGAGCGAGCATGTGTAGTAAGTACAAGAGCATTACAAATAGCTATGAGATAATTGAAATAAAGGAAATTTTAAATGATTGTTCGATGTTATTTACCAGATGAAAGTTTTGAAGATTGAAGTATTGATGAACTTATAATAACTGATTTATCTGTTTAAGCTATTTTGATTGTAATTATCTTTATTTCAAATATAAAAGAACTCTAATCACTAGGAAAATCAATGCTGAAAGTCTCGCAGCACTTTCAACTTACTTACATAAAACATTATCTTCAAATGAAGATGAAAACTTATTGGGTAAATATATGCAATAGTGTCTAAAATATTTTAATACAATGATAAAGAGTAAATATCAGCATGTCTATGCTGTAAAAAAGATTTGGTTTCCAAAATGTGACTCTTCTCTAGCCATTTATGTAAATTTGATCACTTATAAGCATATGTGAAAGACAACAGTTTATTTAGAAAAATATTCACCAGCGTTAAACTTTTCTATCTCAAAGGAGGTTTAAATCTCGAAATATTATCATTTCAACTCGGTATTGTTATGAAGTTCAGCGAAACAAGATGATATTTTCTCTCAGGTTATGCGAATCGTAGCAGGACTTTTTACTGTTAGATCTTCTCATAAGACTTCCATGAACTAAAATTTTGTATAGATATAGTGTAAATATTAATAATACTTTTGCCGAAATATGTCTCATTTCTTTTTCAGCAGAAAAAACATTGAAGCAAATCAAACGAAATGAAAACTGCTTCACTTTTATTGACACTTGGTGAATGTTTGACAACACCCGATGCAATTCGTTGTGCATCAATGACACGATCACCCTATCATATTGAAGAACAATTATCTGATGCAATCACAGAATTTCAAAAACAATCATCAAATTCATTCCAATCAATAAATGAAGTTTTAAAAACAACAAATTCACTTTTTTAACGATATAGATATGAACAAAAGTCAGATAGATTATGGTCGGAAATTAAATTAGTTCTGGAAAAATTTGCACTTGCGTTTGTACTGAATTATTTAAAGTAGAATAAAAATTGAACGTTTTTTTAAATTATTTTTTCCTTCGTTAATCATTAATGGTATATTTTCCACAAAAGAAATCGGATCCAATTGAAATGAAAAATATTTTTAATTCTTTATATATTATTGTAAAAAATCTTTTATTATCTTAATACTCAAGTATATTCAATAGGAAATCCTATATAAAATAGGAAATTTTGTTTTTTTTCTTATTTTAGGAATTACCTGAACTTTTTGAAGATAATATAATAATTTATATGACACATTTTTTTAAACACTTCTTGCTTATGATCATCCAACATTTCATTATTGCTCTTTATGCAGATAATTCTTGTGATGATTTTAAACCATTTGCACAACAATTTGATCTTTATTAACATGATTAGATGTGTCACCATGTTTTGATCGCGTAAAATTTTAATTTTAATTGATTATTATGATATTTTTTCGTTTGTTTTAAGCTTGTCAGTACAGCAATTTTTTTTATCAATATTATTTGTTCGGAATAATTATGGTATGATATGTTTGAAGGTGGTGATACATTGAAAATTATATGTGAACAAGTTATTTTACCAAATTTATTTCTTCGAGGTTTGAATTAAAGTTTCGTTTTCTGCAAGGCTTTGTTTTTTATTTGAATTATATTTAGAATTGGATGTTGAAGAACTTGAAAATAACTGAAAAAAATATATTCGAAAAGATATTGAAAAATTACATAAATTTTGCTTTTGTTTATTATGAAAATGAACCTTTTGATTATTTTTATTTAGATTCAGCAACGCGACGACGAACTGCTTGTGATTTTCTTGAAGCACTTTGTATCTGTTTTGAATCTCAAATCGTTACTATTTATAATCGATATATTTGTACAATGCAAAAAGTAAAGTTTTGGTTTTATAATGCAGAAAATGTCCCAGTTATAGTCAATAATCGAACTTTACCTAACTGACGGTTTTCAATTTTTCCTTTTCTATTCATTCAGGTAGAAATCTAAGTACCGACGGGTAGTCTGTAGTTCAATATTAATCTTGCATCAGCGTAGCATTTTTTCACTAGTACAATTGTTTCGAACTTCAGTATTTCGATTGGTTTTGAGCATGGCATGTCATTATAATAAAGATGACTAGACATAGAGAAATGAACGATATAAAATTTGATAGTATCGGCATTAGATATATATGAAAATGAAAGTAATTGCTTAAATATGAAATGCTTAATTTAGGAATATTTACAAACCCAACACAAAATTGGTTAAAAAAAAGGCCACATGTATTTTTCTTGTTTAACCACTTGCATCAGGAGGTGAGATATAAAATGTTTGTTAAAAGTTTTATTTTCTTATTAAGCATTTTATCTTCTAGTTTAGTATTACAAAAACAAGTTCATTTATTTATATTTCAATAATATTTTATCTGAATTTCAAAACCAAGATAGTATACTAAAATTTTTTGATTTTATTCAAAATTTCATCGTTTTTCCAAACTTGTCTTTCAGTCAATATTCTTCCATTAATACAAACTGATTGTTTAAAATTAAATTCATCGTGATGCTTTACTTCAATCATTACTTGAATGTGTTCGATATCTATCATAAAATAATATTATTGTACAAACATATGCAGCACATGCTATTGTACGTTTATTAGTTGTTCGACTTTCAAATGATCAAAAACTACATTTTTTTATTTTTAAAGGATAGGAAAACGGTTTAAAATTCTATTTGCTCAAAAAATCTATGGTAGTTTCTTTCGAATTTTAACATCAGAAAAATTTTGTAAAAATGAAGATGTTATGAGAACTGTAATGAGATTATCATCATCATCACTTCAGGATGGAGTTTTACTTTATTTAAGTCAATTAATGGAAAAAATAGTGATGATTTTGCGACGATCAAGTCGAGTAAGAAAATTGAATAATTAATTTAATTATATATCTTTATTGCTACAAATAGAATCCAAATAAATCAAATTTTAATAATTATTTATTTAAAACTATGACTGTATTAATTTGTATAATTGGCACACAAAATCTCGGTGTATTTAATTAATTAGAACAAATTCTTTTTTCTCGTATTTATACCAATATTTTTTCAGATGATGCTGCTGCTATAGGATTATTTTTCTTATTGAATATGAAATCGATTCTCGTCTTTCGTTTTCAATTTAGAATTTGTTCTATATGTTTTACAAACAGTTGGATTCTTATTAGAATCTCATTCATCAGAATCAACACTTATACCAACATTTTGGAAACCTAGTGGAGATATTCCAGCTTTATCAAGACCTTTACAAGCTTTTATTAAAAAAGCTGATGAAACAATTGTTTTTGAAAAATTTGTCAATTTTGTTTGTTTTTGATTTATTTATAAAATTATTTTTCTTTTTTTAAATATTAATAGATAAAAGTTCTTGGAATATTTCAACGACTTGTATCTCAATCAAAAATTCATGTTCATGATGGTTTTTCAATATTAAAATCATGAATAATTCATTTATGAATTGACTGCTTAAATAATTATTTTGAAAATATATTTATTATTACATTTAAACGTTTAACAAAAGCTCAAACACAAAAATTAATTAAATGCATTATTGTCTTCTTTTCTTATAATATTATTAAATATACTGCAGAACAACTTATGGGTGTGGCGGAGGGTGTGTTGCTTTTTGCTTTACCTACACCCAGACCTCCCTTATCACCCACATTCACGAACACACCCAATAGTGAAGTATTTTTTAAACCGATACATAACTTTTCCTTCATCATGTGACAAATAGAATAACATAAAATCCTAGGATAAACGATAGAGCTAGCCAAAGTTGATACATTTTGGCATAGTTCAATCGATCCCTGGGGGAGGCGTACCTTCTTAGGCTCAACAATTGTCTGACTATGTCACATGCAAACATTTTGAAAACTGTACCAAAAGATCCTTTTTCACATTGCATCAGGTGGGCATATTTTCAAGCCTCTTACGTACGAATAATAATGGAAAATAGTTGAATTTATTGAAAAAAAAAGATTTTTCCATTTAAAAAGTATAGAACATGCGAGAGTTTTTGTACATTTTTTATATAATTCTCAGTGAAGTTTGTGTCGAAAAATGGCTAAACAATTACTTAATATAGACAGTTTTGTAGATCTTGACGAGCTCCATCAAATCGTGTAAAAATATCAAAGAAAAAAGTTCTACTCGAGTTTTGAATTACTCATATCACTACATAAACACGTTAAAAATGATATTGATTATAAGATCAAGACTTGGTATTCAACCTTGATCTGATCAATGAAAAATCTTTTCATAGATTCTTACAAGGGAGAAAAGCAGGTCACGGGATCCGCTTTTTCTCCTTTTGGTTACTATCTACTCAAACACGTCTAGCTATCAAACAATTATTGTGCGCGACGAGAATCATCGAGCGTACATTTAATTATAGAATCAAAACATGCCTCCAACAAGGACTTCTTCAATAAAAGCGAAGGTTGTAGAA